CTGAGTGAAGTCGAGAGCGAAATACTTGACTATTCGGTGGTGTTGACAGCTATTCTCTATATATACTCTTCCTCTTCTACTGTATGTGTTACGTATGTATGCATTATAAATCCCTCACCTCTCTTGCCCCATTTACTGTTGCATGGCAGGCATGCGTCGTGTACCTAGGCCCACACAAATATGTATATAACAATTACAAACTATCTATATCTATATATATATGTTCCTGTCTCTCTTTCTCTCTCTCTCTCTCTCTTTCTCTTTCTGTATTTACATATATATATGTGTGTGTATGTGTATATATATATATATGTTAATGAAATCATCAAAATGTGTTCAATATCCAATGTCAAAAACTCTTCCAACTCAACTCCAATTGTGATCGTCCTCCAATATACAAAAAAAACTTCGAATCAGAGCGCGAATTTTCGAATAAATCTTCGCTAATACGACGCGGCGGCATCTGCATCTTTGTGGATGAAGACGAGGCCGATAATATTGAGCAAAAGCCGCGAGGCATTACCTTTGCCCCGGCCGCCAGCCCGCTGCCAAAGTGTCCGCTCTGTGGTGCCGACATCTCCGTCGATGCCAACACCACCGACACCGCTACCGCTAATGCTACCGCCACCACCACCACAACCACCACCACTACCACCACCACCAATACCACCAACGACACCAACACCTCAATCAGAGCAAGTAGTAAACGTAGTTGTCACGATCCGGCCTCAGCTACGGCTACGGCTACGGCTTCGGCTTCGGCTTCGGCTCCGGACACGCCCACGCGATCACGCTTCTGGCACAATCGAATGGCGGCGCTCGCAGCGTGTTGGCAGCAGAGCAAGAACCGGAAGCAGCGCTTCAAAACCGGATGTAGTCACTGTGGTGCAGCCGGTGAGTTGTTTTGTCATCTCCGCAACACATACTTCTCATTCGTACTCCCAACCGAACCACTCTCCCATCCGCTTTCTTTCTCTCTCTCTCTCTCTCTCTCTCTCTCTCGCTCTTTCTAACTCTGTTGCTCTGACATGCTTAATCGCCATGCATTTCCTCAGCCAACACCCAATATCTATATATGTGTCATTCATTCAGCTCCTCCCCACAAACCAAGAGTCGCACAGCCACTAAAACTCGGCCACACTTGTAAATACAGATCACTCTTACTCTATAAAATGTTGTACAATCCCAATCGTTCATGTCATTATGAAAAGGTTTCTTTCTATAATTTTTTATATTATAATAATATTACAAGAAAGAGTTTTAGAAATAGCAGCAAGCCAATGTATAAAACAGTAAACTTATTAGCATCAGATTTATACAGATCTAAACTTAGCTTTAAGCTAAATCCAAACGTAACTAAGACTTTCCTATAGGCAGATAGGAATCCGATAATTTTTGGGTACTGAGAAAAAATCAATGTTGAGCACTTAATTTTCTATAATTAAAACAATATAATGCATAATCATAGACAGCGTTTATCTATGTAGAATAGAAAAGAAATATTTATAAAAAAATTTTAAAAATATATAAGAACGTCTAGTCCTGTTTTCGAATTTACCACGACATATTAAAAAGCTCAATAGACGTACCTAGCACTGTAAGTCCATGCTAAGAACTTGCTGATTTTAGATCTCTAGAACTATACGAGATAAAGACTACTTAAGTACGAAATATAAAAAACATGTATATAATATTTAAATCGATGATAAAACAGTTTACTTATATCAGCTTACATTGTATATAGATGTGCTTCTAAATATATACATAAATATCCAAACACACTATATATCATCCAAACATCAAGTCCCTAGCATGAGTTCATGAGGACAGCTGGTCAGGAACTCATTGTACAGAGCTTACATAGTCTGCGCACCTTGTATATAATTCTAAAATATTGTCAAAGATATCTAAAAGCAACGCTCTGTATATAAGTAACAAAATAACTTATATTTTATAGTTTTACGAAATTAAAGTATCAACAGCTATAATGGAAAGAAATACCTATACATTTAACACTAACCGGCGAATGCCGTCTTTTTATATTGTTTGCTTGAGGTCCTTTTCGGTGCTGCTTGATGCTGTACATAATTGCCACCGTTATGCACGTGCATTTTCTTTTGCTTTCCCAGCCAACGTTTGCCTATTTCTTTACATTATCATTTCGGGCGATAAGGTCGTCAACTTGTTTGCCATTTCCTGTTGCTTACCGTTTGTCTGTTTGTCCGTCGGATTTTGTTTCATTTTGTTTATGTACTTTCACTTTTCAATGCTGTTTTTGTTTATATTTGGTACGTGTGCGAATCTAAGTGTTGGTGGGTGTGGGTATGTGTGGGTATGTGTGGGTGTGTGTGTGTTGGTGTTTGCTTGTGTGGGTGCTTGTATCTATTCAAGCACTGTAGGATTTCAATTGTTTGCTTTGCTTTTATTACTTCTTCTACACACACACACACACACACACACAAAATCTCGATTACTCTCGTCTGGTTAAATGGCGCCGAACCAAAGTTGGGGTAAAAACTCGGTGCTGGATTGTGTTTATTATCGAAACAACAACAACAACAACAGCAACATCAACAGCAAGAATAATAACAACAACAACAACAACTGCGACAAGCAACTACAGCAGCAATATTAATGTCAAAGTTAAACATGAACCGTCACACATGGCACAACACGCCTTGGCATATGAGGCATTCAAAGTATTCACACACACACACACACACCCACACACACACACAGCTAGTGAAACAACATTGAACAGAATTTGTGCAGCTGCAGCAACGGTCCTAATTCTGTGCCAAAGTTCAAATTTAGCTTATCAGCTTTGTAACTCTCATCGAAATCTCATCATCTCATCTCATCTCTCTTTATCTGACCCGAACAGGCGGCTCGGTGCGACCCGCGAAAGGTTGGAAGGCCGAGCACAAGGCCGCCCGCACTTTGGGCATCATAATGGGCGTCTTTCTGCTGTGCTGGCTGCCCTTTTTCCTATGGTAAGCAATGCCCAGGGCATTACATCTACCTCCCTCTCTCTCTCTTTCTCTCTCTCTCTCTCTCCCTCTCTCTCTCTCAATATGTATGTGTGATTATGTTTATATCAGGTATGTTATCACGTCGCTGTGTGGCGCCGCTTGCCCCTGCCCGGATGTGGTTGTCGTGGTGCTCTTCTGGATTGGCTACTTTAACTCAACACTCAATCCGCTCATCTACGCCTATTTCAATCGGGACTTTCGCGACGCCTTCCGCAATACGCTCGAGTGCGTGCTGCCCTGTTTGGAGAAGCGCAATCCCTACAATGCCTACTATGTCTAATGCCCAGAGGTTATGGGCATCTCAGTATGCTGAATGCGGATGTCGGTGCAAGTGATATTCAATGCGCTCGAATCAAATACCAGATTAAAGCTCTACTCAAGCGCAAAAACATCTTAGTTAAGGTCCGAGAGCTAAGCAATACTCAAATGTGTGTTTATTCTGTATACGTATTTTATTTATTGTGTGTATTATACCATAGTTAAGTAAGCTCTGGCTAGCTATATATCAATGACGAATGTGTGTCTATTAGCTGTATGCACATAAATATATTTCTAAATATATACATATATATTTACGTAAATCTATGTCCCTAGCCTAAGTAAAAACGATTCTGCAAATCGAAGCGAACTGCACGAGCCACTAGAAAATACGCAAGGCGAGAATTATAACTAAGAGGCGAATTGGGTTCTATAAAAAAAGACCTTCCCCTATAAATGCTTACAATATCCATGATAAGAATAATATATATATAAAACTAAAGATTCAACAACGTGTTAAATTTTAAACAAACTATCAAAAAACTAAACGCAATTGCCGATCAATATTATTAGTTAAAGGTATTCGAGAAATTGAAATGGAATATAAATGTGCAGGGTGACCATAGATAAATCAAGTGTAATAAATCAAAAGCCAAGTAAGATATTACGCGAACTTCGATTTTCTTTTATTCGGAATATCATATCATTAAAAGGCCTATCGCTGCTTGCAGCGCTTCAAGCGTAAGGCTGAGTTTTAAATGATTCTATTCTATATGTGAGAGGCTATTCCAGCGATTGCGTCTCGAAAGATGAACTTTAGCTTTGGTAAAGTAGTAAACCTGCTAGCGTATAATTAGGACAACTGTTATCGATCACTTAGTCAACTGCTGAAATGAATCGATCGGAAGTAGTATCTCTCTTGCTTGGTCACTTTATAGAATACCTTGTGACAGTTCGAAATAAAAAATAAGTTAGGCTGACAAAATGTCGGTTTATGCATAATCAAACATCTATAAAAAAAAAAATAATAAAAAAAAAATAAAAAATTAAGAAAACAAGATCACTTTGTGTTAGACGCGTAAATGGAATAAAAAATGGAAATCAATTTCGTCATGAAACTAAAATTAGAATAAAAGTTCATAATTTAATTGTCTGCTTAATGACAATCTGCAAAAAATAAAAATTAAAATGAAAATAATAAACAAGAAATGAAAGAAAATTCCAGAAAGTCAAATGTAGAGAATTGCATATTGAATACATATAGCGAAAACACGTATTAAGTTAAGTTTCGTACGTATATATGGTTTCCATGTGTTTGAGTTAAAGCTACTTTTGTGATACCTGGTCAAAGGGAATTGAATCCAGTTTTTAGTTCCATTAGTTAACAGTTAATTGCGACCTTTGGTTTAAGGCAATGCGAAAGAAATGCAATCTCGACTAATATTATATATAAATATATATATACATAAATGTACTTATTTCTATGTATTTACTTGCTGAAAACTAAATAATTGCAAATTCAATTGTGAAACTAAAGTGTTTTAAAAATATATGTATAAAAATGGAACTTGGTGCGTTTACTTCTCACGGGCAGTGTACGATTTTCATATTTATAAATAGCCGCCAGAGAGCGGTGCCTATATAGACGCATATATGTATATAGAGTTTGCTATTTGGTGGGTCGCACTAATCGTGCTGGTTCATGTTTGGCCAGTTTTGTTTCGAATCGCTCGCCAGATGCCCGACGCTCGCATCGAGTTCACCTCTTCGGAGCCACACGAGGGCGACGCCACCTGTGTGGCGTACTTCGATAATCAGCTCTTCTCCGGCGGAGCTGATGGCAAAATACGTGTAATTACTCAATTAGCCCCTCGGTTAGGTTTAGTGCGCTCATCCACTCAGCTGTCGCCCCTCCGCAGGTTTGGTCAGCGTCGCTGCAGCTGCTGCGCACTCTGAATGCCCACGATGCGTACATTTATTGCATGGCCGTAAATGAGCAGGGCAAGCTGTACTCGAGCAGCTGTGATGGCCAAGTTAAGTACACGTTGCCGCCGTACGAGGATGCCTCCGTGCAGGAGCTGTTCCGCTGCGACGATGCCATCCAGGCCATGTACTGTGCCGGACCAGTGCTCTATACGGGCGACGACAAGGGCGTGGTCACCACCTGGAGTAACGATCGCATGCTCTTCAAGTACAACCTGGTTGAGGAGGTCAAATCACTAGCCGGGGAGCAGCAGCTCATTTACACAGTGCGCGACTTGGATGTGGTTATCTCAGTCATAGTCGAGGGCAAGTCGGGTAAGTATAGCAACAAGATGGTCATACCAGGAAAGTCGCCTCTCACACTGCTCGGCCCACTGGTTGAGGAGAAACGAACCTATTTAGCATTTCCCGATCGCACTGGCATGGGCTTGCAGCTGATCAATAATCTGCCACAGCACAAGTTCTCCCAAGTGTGGCATTTGCCGGTGAGTCCAGCATATCTCAAGTTCTTTGGGCCGTTCTGATTGTTATCCGAATCGCAGCAATGCCATGACATGATTGTGAATAGTATATGCGGCGATGAGGATCACCTGTACTCCGGTGGCTATGACAACAAGGTCAAAGGCTGGACAAACTTGGCGGCAAAGCAGCCAACGCCTCTCGGCGAAGTGGATGTGGGCAGTTGTGTGAATTCTATTTGTTGTGGCTCCGACAATTGTGTGTATATTGCAAGCAGCGATGGTTTTATACGCTGTGCAAAATTTGTTTAAATCGTAAGAGAATTAAAATTCTGATGGCAAATAAAATTATATATGAAATATAACTACTTTCTGATTCAATTCAAATTATTATTTTAGCGCTCCACAGAGTGATATTGCAAGCAGCTTTTACCTGCATGCAGCACTTGGGCAGCACTTTTGGTGCTGCCAGACTCTTTCAAACAGATGTGCAAACAAGCACACAAGCATTCATATAATCATATGGCAACACCATCAAAATTTCTTCTGCTTCTGAAGAATTCCTTTGGATACTGCTTTAAGCGTATTTGTGCAAGGATCACCTGACCGCGACGATGACACATCCCGTCGCCGCAAAGGGACAACCACGCAAGTATCCGTTCGTCAACATGCGCATTGCGGATAACTCGGTGCTGGACACAATCGAGGGCCGCCACAGTTGCCGCCACTGCAATCGGTCCCGCAAATTCTTTTGCTACAATTGCTACGTCCCAGTTGGCAAATTGGTTAACCTGCTGCCATTGGTCGAGCTGCCCCTGCAAATAGACATCATCAAGCACAAGAAGGAGATTGATGGCAAAAGCACAGCAGCGCATGCAGCAGTATTGGCTCCCCACAATGTCCGCATCCACACCTATCCCGATATACCCGATTACAGGCAGGAGGATGGAGTGGTGCTCATCTTTCCCAGTGCCACGAGTCTCACGGTGCCGCAGCTCTTCGAGCGTGACGTCCGCCTAAACATCGATGACAATTACGGCCTGCCCAAGGGCCATCACATGGGCACAATGCTGCGACGCCGCATGGATGAGATTGTTGGTGAAACGGAACCGACACAAAGCCCCAGGTGCTATACCTTCGGCAATCTACCCGTACGCCGAGCCGTATTCATTGACAGCACCTGGAACCAGAGTCGCAGCATCTATGCAGATGAGCGTGTGCGAGCTCTGCGCACTGTGGTACTCCAGAATCGCTTGTCGCAGTTCTGGCGGCATCAGCGAGGCAGTCCTCGTTGGTATCTGGCTACCATCGAGGCCATTCATCAGTTTGTGCTGGAGATGCACGTGAATGCATGGGGCCTCAATGCGGCCTATCGAGGCCTGGACAATCTCGAGATTACCGAGGGCTTCCATCTGCTGGCAGCGCCGCTCACGGTGGTGGCGCCCGCGGATTGTGAAGAACCCGAATCGCCATATAACGGGCAGTACGACAATCTGTTGTATTTCTTTTCCAGTATGTACGATCTCATACACAAGTACTACGATCACAACGACCTGATATCGTATCGTCGTCCAATTTAAGCACAAATTTCTGTCAATATTTATTAAAGTGGAATTACGATTTACTGAAGTTACTTCCATTCATATGTCTACAACTGAAGTTTTATTTATTTATAATTATATAGCTACAACTATTTCTTTTTCTTTTTGCCTTCATCGCTGGAATCACTTGTCACTTGCTTCTGCTCAGTGTTTACCGGCTTCTGCCACTTGAGCGGGTTTCTGCGATAGATGGACCATGGGGGAATCGTTATCTAAGCGAGTGATGGAGTATATAAGCTATTAATTAACATAAATGGTAATATTGGGAAACCACTGACCAGTGAAGATATCAGGAAGCCAACACCCAGCACGTAAACAGTTTGGGAGAACTGCTGCACCACGGCCCCATAAATGAGACCAATTACTCCAAAGAGTGTTATGATAATACGGGACCAGCGTTCAGCTTTGGCCTGGCCAACAAAGTCCTAAGAATTTCAAATAGCTTAAGTGATAGAAGCCGAGAGCACTATATTTCACTTACCATATGTGTTTGTATATCAAGCATATTGAGATTTCGGACAATTTTGCACTTTATATGCGTAAACAAATTCGGTTGCGGCACGTCAGCAGTACAATCGAAGATATGTTCGATATAAATACGCTATCGATGTTTTTGCTACTATACACGGTGCTGCCAACTATCGAGTACAAAATTTCGCTTGTTGGAATACTTTACGTACCCTACATTCATGAATGTTATTAATTTTTTATTATTATACAAGGCTTTTGACACATAATTACAATTTAGTGATTTTATTAGTATTATATTCCTTCATTTGCTTTGGATATGAATAAACCCGTTAATATTCAACGTAGCCAGACTTAATGTTCAAATTACTTCTGAATATATCGATTAATATAGCGCGCCTAAAATTCCCAATTACTACAAAATCGATTTATTTTAAATGTAAATTGTTCATACTTTTATTTGTACAAGGCGTAAATGGCGGCTAAAGCCGTGGACGTTATATATTAAGATCTAATAAATAAGTGGCGCGGAATGTGCTTTGTATGATAAAATGTTAAAATAATCGTGCTGAGAAATTTGTCTCGTTTCGTTGTCATTTTTCGCAATTTAAACTCGAGCCGAGCGTGTGCGGCGTAAGTTTACAATATTGATCACACTTATGATTATCCAACCGAATAGGGTAAGCCAGGCTAGAACGAGGGTGAAGTACAAACAAGCAGCCGTGTTGATACGTCCATAGCGACGACGCTCATATGATATGCTCTCCACGAGAAAGTCCATAAAATCAAACACAGCTGCACAGGACAAACGGGCCTTGATCACGGGCACTATGTTGCCAACGCCTTGAATTTCCTTCAGCAAGGACTCGCGATACTGTTTGCAGGTGACTTCGAATCCATCGGTAAAAACGGCAGCATAGATCAGCTGGTAAATGGCCATAATGACCGATATAACCGTGGCAGGTAGCCCTAGATAAGAAAGCACACCAATTAATCGAATCGCTGACTGGGCAGAGATAATACCTACAGTAGTAAGGGGAGAGGCCGTCTGAAGATAGTTCGGACTCCGTGGTTACCACAACCATGTCGCCGGAGCTGCAAGAGGCGGAAGAGCGGAAACAGAACAACGCATGAGTAATAAACACTTAAAAATTTAATTGAATTGGTGCAAAGTCTCGCATTTGCTTCGGTCATCTTCCATTTGCGGCACACATTAGCATAAGGCTTAATTAGGCCAGCCTTGCGAGTGTCGCAAGATGCTGTGTCTGGCGATTAACCCGCATGACCTCCGTCTGCTTAGAATTGTGCGGCACTTACCGTTGTCTAATTGTTGTGGTGCCCGCCTTGCGCTGTCCCTTGCCGATGCACATGCGATAGCAATGATAGATGCCTAGCACCACGGCAAAGACCAGGGGCAGAAGCAGTCCATAGGTGGCGTAGTGGCAATATGCAATATTGCCACCTTCGAAGCTGTTATAGGTGCTGCGGCCGTGCAGCACACAGCCGCAATTGGTATCTGGGCAAGCGTTGAGCACATAGCGCCAATGCGTCCAGGCCACTGCTGAGGTAATGCAGCAGATCAGCGACGCCCCAATGATAAAGGGATATAAATAGGAGAGCGCTCGTTCCGCTCCGTACGACATCTTTTTAAGGAATGGGTGGGGGCTGCTTGAAATTTAATATTAATTAATTAATGACACACATGAAATAATTTCTTGAAATTTGTTTATTATTTTATTATTTGCATTTGTTGGTCTTTGGGCGAACTGCGCTGCTAACTGCGAAGTCGGCGTCGCTGAGCAACGCACACCAGCGCAGCTCTTATTGCACTCTCTCTCACGCACTCGCTCTCTCACGCGCTCTTGGGCGTCACACGCAAATACAAGTGCATTTGCTGCACTGTACCAAATATAAACAAACATTTGTAATGCCGTTGCAGCCGTTGCTCAGTTTTTAATAAATTAGAACTTTTTTTATTTTCATCAATGAAAATATAAATAAACAAAAGGCGAAACCAACAAACTTTAGCAGAAATGTAAGCTTATCGGCAGGAACAGTTTGCTGACACATACACTTACACAAGCGCACTAAGCTGGCACACCTACGTCGACAGACACTTTACGTTTACCGAACAACCAACCGTCTGCGCGCGCAGCAATAAAACAACTGAATCTAGTCTTGTTTTGGCTCCGATCAGAACGAGCGCTGGAAGTGAGAGATAGAGAGAGAGAGAGAGTGAGAATGAACAGGCACATGGTAAGAGCGCGAGAGCAGGCGAGCATTTGTGTGCAGTGTTGCCAGGTTTTGAGACATAAAAATAGCAAAATCGTCTCTAAAAAATAGCTGAAAATAGCTAAACAAATTTKAAAATAGCTTACAAAATAGCTGAAACCTTTATGCATTATGCATTTACTTTAAATTTTATTTTTAAATGTTATTTAATAATGTTACAATTTGGTCCACATCCAAATCATCATCAGAATTATATTTTTGATTAACTGGAATCATGTTTAAATGAAATCATGGAAAATGTTTAAATTTTTTGCCCAAAGACGCCAATCGCAGTTTTATGTTTTTTTTGTCGCGGCATGCATTTTAATATCGTGCAATTTGGCAAAAACACTGCATTTGCAGTATATACAATACGTCCGCCTGTTGTCCGACTCATCCTCCTTAATCCAATTCTTAAATTCGGTGATTGTTTTCCAGGAATCACGAAATTTCTGCTTATATTTTTTATCCATCACATACAATTAATGCCAAGAAGCGCGTCAAGAATAATTAGCGATGGTGTAAATTCACAACTGATGTTATAAGTACGATAAAGTCGTGGTGGTGGTATCGCGCACATCATTACGTACAATTTGGGACTAATCGAAAAATGTTTTTTTTTTTTTGCTTTAAATACTAAAATCAAATTCAAACTATTCGTTTGTAAAATAGCTAAATTTATAGCTAATAGCATATTCAAAATTTTCATAGCATTTAGGGTTCAAAAATAGCTAAAAATGCTATTAAATAGCTAATCTGGCAACACTGTTTGTGTGTATGGAGCTGCCTCATGCGTTATGAGTAAAAACCAACTTGGCAGTTCTGTTCGTTACTATTTGAAATGACGCGACATGACTAAGAAAGCACCGTGTAAGAATTTGTATTTGCATAATATGAATGAAAGGTGTATGACAACAACAAAGATGCCTGATTCTTGGCCAGGCGCCATCACTTAGACAGCCTGCCAAGCATCTGCCGGCCACAACAAATGACGCGCACACACCAGCGGCCCGCCCCATGCTGTTTCATCCTGCTCCGTACCATATACTGTACTGGCTGGCCGCCATGACTGGGCCATGTTCATTTTGGCAAAAACCATTTTTCGCGGACGCCTGATCTCAGTTGCATGAGCGCTGTAGAACTCTCAACTACGCGGAACAAATTCGAGTGAAATTCAGCCAGAGATACAATTAAAGCCAAACACTTAAAGTATTTATCTAATACATAGACTAACAACTAGTCGCTAGTACTAGGCAGATCCTAAGTGAAATCAAAAGTGACAATTATCCAATATAAAGAGTGCTTTCAACTGTGGACGTTACGAAAGTGCATGCAATTGCTGAAATTGCAAAATTGCAGCCGCAAATAATTTTCATTGCAGACCAACAATTGCCTATAAATAGCCCATAAGGTAGAACAAATCCGTCTGCCATCTTCCCAGAACATTATAAAATTATAAGTACTAACAAATTTCGTCTAATTTTCTACTGTACGTAAAATACAAGATGATTACGCATTGACTCTGTTGTCATTGTAGAAGACGTCAACTACATTTTGTTCTTAATTAACATAATTAATTTATAAACATCTTTACATTCAAAGATTGTACTAAACGACCTTTAATAAATTCTAACAAAAAATGGGTAAATACTGTATAATATATTTTGTAATCAATGCTTTGGATAGCCGTAGTACCATAGTGATGTCTAGCAATATCTATGCACTTAAAAAAAAAAATCTATTTCTGAGCCATTAGAGATTATGCTTATAGTTTGTACGAGAAAACATGAATCCTATGAGTGCAATTCAGAAAAACTCATGGGACTCAAGTTTCTTTTTCCTTTGTACAAGTATAGTACAATAAGTATATTATAGACTGAGCAACAAATTGCTTTCTATGATATTAGATTAAAAAGAAAAAATAGTTTGAAATTATTAAAAAAAAATATATATATATGAGAT